CCTCAAAGGAAAGTTATTAGTACACTAGATGTTTGGAACTTCTAACTAAAATGAATGTTTAGATCCATCGAAAACGGTGTCTCAACTGTATTATCACAACGGGCCATTATTATTGCTTAACTGAACTTAAGTGCACAAGATGGCCACTCTAACCTAACCTAACTATATCTTCTTCTTCGCTAAATCCAGCTACCTAAAACTAAGCCTACATTTTTTTTAAAACAAAGAAAAAACTTTCTTTAATTTAAATGCAAATGGGATGTCTCTGTTTGCAATAAAAATTTTCATTAGACAAAAGGTCGAAGAAACCATTTTTCATAGCTCATAAAACAGAAAATGGCATAATTTCATCTGCCCTTCCGTGCATTTCCACGCCGTCCAACCGTCCAACTTTCGGCAAACAAAGTGTATTAATTGTTTTAGCAGAAAAACATACAAGCAAACAAAATCACTTAAAAGTTTTCAGACACTCGAAAAAAACGCAGAGTAACACTGTATTATAGTACAGTGCAGGGAAACACTGTTCGGCTGGGACACATCCAAATCGCCTGAACTATTCATAGAGCGACAATCGCATACTCGTACTCGTACTCGTATTGTACCAAAGCAAGAAAAAACTGTTCAAAATCTCTGCGAAATATTTTTATAGAATTTTGGTCTTTGTTGGCTTTTTTGTCGGTCTGATTTTTGATTTGTGCGTTCGCAACTCCGTGCAAAGTCTGGGAATTTTTAGTTCATTTTATTGTGATTTTATTATTTTTCGTCTAAGATTTAATGGAGTACAAATGCGTTTTAGCGTGAAATAATGCAATATTTGTCATTGAAGTTTGCAGTTGACAGTTGAGAAGATATATGCAGTTCGGCAATAAAAATATTTAAAATGAAATGTGCGCTCTCAGACGACTTTGAAGTAAGACAGACAAAAATTTGTGATTCTAGATTTTTTTTTGAAATAAATATTTTCTTATGAAGTTAATAGCTTTTAAAATTAAGAAAAATGTCTAAAAAAGTATTATTAATTTACTTTAATTGTCTAAAAAAAATTTTTTAAATTCTTAAATTTATATTTAATATAATTTTTCTCCAACCCTTTTGCAATAATATTTAATATTATTTAACACTAAAATTCCAATGAAATTTGCCAAGAGCAAAAAAAAATTTTTTTTTCTGTTTTGTAAAAATAACCCACTTTAGAATTTATGCGAAAAGTTTTTATACACTTTATGGCTTTTTTTTCACATTGATTGATTTTTTACCTTTTTGTGCTGGAGTATTTGAGGCAATTCTTCCGCACTGGCACGTTTAAACTTACTCAATTTATTCACACTGCAAGTACGTAATACGTATCGCTCTGGTCCCTAATGCCATACAAGGTTAAGGTGCTGGGACTTGGAAAAACACAGGAACTTTTTAAACCAATTTGAATAAATTTTTATTCTGCTCTCTTGCCTTCCCATGCCAACATAGTCAACTAGACATGCGGACAGACATTTCATAAAAAGCAAATGTGTTTTTAATATTGTCTATGATGGAGGAATTTTCCGATATTTTCCACACTGAAAATGAAAACTTGTTGATGCAAATAAATGAAATTCCTTACTAACTAAATTTAAAATTATTTGTAAATTTTTAAAATGCGTAAAATCGTCTTTATTCTAAATAAAAATTTAATTTTTTTAAAACTGCTTTAAAATCATAAATATTAAATTTATAAATAAAATTTAATATATAATAAATTTGTACAATAAATATATAATTTAATATAATTAAATATAATAATAATTAATATAAATATTTTATAATTATATTTAAAATTCACATCAAGAAAAAATTATAAATTTTTACAAAGGTAGAACGGTTCGAATAGAAATAAAAAGACAACAACAAAAATTTTAGTTAGTTTATTGAAATTTGGCTAACCATACAACGCTGTTTCGAGTATTGCCAAGTACTCAACATCAGAAATCTTTTTTTTAGGAAATATTCGAACTTTTATTAAATAAGTTTATAGTCCGTATATAATTTATTGGACTGCAAGTGTCAGGCTTAGACTTTTCAGGCTTTAGCAGGGTTAGCAAAATTGTACCAACAAAAAAATTGAACTTAGAGCTTGAAACCCCCAAAGTGGGCATACCCACAAAAGTACCGGCTATAGCCTGGAGAAGGCCGATTAAAAAAGAACTTGGGATAAATAAGTATGAATGATATCACGTGGAATAATATATTTATAAATAATGTTAATAATTAAATTATATAAAATTTAATTAATGTAATAATTAATTAATATTGTAATTAATTAAGGTATTTATTATGATAAATATTATAAATTATTAATATTAATACTAATTTTATGGAACTTAAAACTAACATGTATAGATATAGTGCTGACTACTGAAGACCTCGGCTATTGAAAAGAAAAATAAAATAATTCTTGATTCTTCTTCTTGAGTTAGTGCTATTACGCAGTTTTACTCTATAATGGCTGGGGGACTTATCTCTACCCCACACTAGGCTTTAACTAGGCTAAGAAATCATATCATTTATTTGTCTTTTAGTTGATAACGGACCTTAAATCAGCATATCTTCCTGAGAGTCCAGAAGTGGACTTGAGGATTGTTAAGGCAGGATTAAGTAGCGTATCAAATTTAGTGAATAATTTTCGTGCTCTGTCCCTGATATATTTTTTCACTGAGTCAATCCTAAGATCTCTATGTATCTCTGTTGAATAAATTTAAGTAATTTTTAATATATTTTATTTTTTTCTATTTGAATATTTTGCTTAACTTTTGAAAAACTTTCCTCAACGCTTTTTAAGTTTCTCAGAAAAAGATAGGAGTGTATTTCAACTCCAACTCATGTCATTAAACTTCCTTTCTGAAAAAAGGCTTTATATGTGTATTTGTTAGTGTTAATAGTCAGAGTTCGATGATGCTGATTATCGAACTTTCAGACAAACTGTGAAATAAATATTTCAGATTGTTTTCAATTGTTTTCGAAGAAAAAAAAATAATTAAATCGTTCACCAGTTTATTTCACAGATAAACTTTTTGTGTTTCAGAAAAAAAAATCTTTAAAAAAAATGGTTTAATAAATTAATTTAATAGGATTTTTTATTTCTTTTATTATTAAAGGATTCTATTATATTGACTGTGTTGTTTGTAAGTTTTAACTTTTTGAAAATTAATTTTCCGAAACTCTTACGAGTACAACTTTTAGTTTACTGACAAAAGAACTAATTAACTGCACGCAAACACTTCAACAATAAATTCACAATTAAAAATAATTAAAGAAGGCATCCTGTAATTTTAGTAAACTTTTTTCAACTAAAATTGAATTTAAAAAAAAAATAAATGTTTTTATCTTTTCATCGTTACTGATGTATAGCAATATATTGCTGCTATCTAAATGAAGGCCTTGTTCTCAATACATAAATGTTACCTTATAAAACATAAAAAATTATACCCATTCGATTCAACATCCATTTTATTGTCTTTACGAAAATGCAATCAATATAACACAGCTGTAACTCCAGAAATCTGATCTAGGAATTCTATGCGAAACTCATCGTATTGCAGTTGTAACTATGTCTATGCGGTAACTAGACACCTAGGAAGCAGAAGAATACAAATACTGATGTAGAGCCAAAGAAAGAAAAAAATAGAAACTGCAAAACCGCTAATTGCCCAATTCTATCCTAGATCAATAGTTATTAAAAACTACCAATTAACAAACCAAGCCAATAATGTTTAAGGGAAACATAGTCTATTGCCACAGCTCCTTTTGTTCTTTCATTGCATATTAGATTTAGCAATCTAGCAATGATACAAAAATTATATCATTGCGATTAAATATTTGAAACTAAATATTCTTATAAATTTGTTATGAAATATTGCATTAGATATCTAACTTCTTCAGTTCAATTTATTCAATTTATTCTATAAATTGTAGTACTGAATCTATCTTATCGGTTCTTATTTCTTTAACCGTTGCAAGACATCCATCTGAGCATTGTTTTAATTTATATATCAGTTCTGAATAAATTCCTAGAACGCAGAAATTCTAGAACTCCTAAAATCGAGATATTTAAGGTCTCATTATCTTCTTTATGAAACTTGTAAGTACTATTAAAGTAAGTTCCTAGTTTGTGAGGTAAAAATTCAACTATATAGTGCCTTGTTAGAAATCCTGTAATAATTCTTAAATATTATACTACATAAACACATGTACATATATATTTCCACAAAGCAAAATATATAAATGATACAATATCATTGTAAATTTTTTATCGTGTTCTGTATTTCATAGTCCCAATTATCTACTTCTTTCTGGTGCTGCGTTTGATATTTTTAATTCTTTAATCGATATTGATATTTTTTAAATATTCCTTATGATCGAGATATACTGTCTTCCGATGTAAGATGGATATTAGAATTTTTCTGTTACGTTTTAATTGAAATATCAGAAGAGTGTGGTGGTGATTAGGTCTTTGATCCTCTCCTTAAAAATTATAAAATATCATTTTTGTTAACACTTCGTTTTGCTAGTGGAGGGAATTCGAAGAGTGATAGATCCTCTTTTTGACAATTTTCAGATAATATATCGCAAAAACACTACCAAAAAGAAACATTTTGTTATGTATACCCTCTTTGGTACAATCCGTCATTGTAAATTGATACTCAAATGAAATCAATATCATTTGTAATAAAAAAGTAAATTTAAGTTAACTAAAACCTTGTTGGCATATCATTCCATTTACTTTGTTTCTCATGTTTATATCTACATCTATTACAATAATGTATTACCCTTCATTAAACAGAAATTGCTTTAGATAATTATATATATTGCTCTATAATATTTTATTATTAACTCACTTACTTTTTATGTATTAAAAACCTTTTCAATAATTAAAAAATTATAATTATTATTATTTAATTTGAAAAAAATTTATTCTTTTTTACTCGCATTAATAATAGATTTATTTCTTTTTCTGTTTCAGAAAAAAAATGTCAACCTAAGTTAAGTCCATCAGCAAGTAATTAGACCTGAATCAATATATGTCAATCAGAACACAACACCGAATCAACACAATAATGACAAATAAAATACAGAAACGTGTAAAATGGCGACCATTTCCGCGACTGCATACCCTACACACACACATGTGGCTGCTCCCAGTGTTATTGTTTCAATTGCTTTTGAGCCTGCAAAAAGCAACCGCTTTTTGTCCATCAAAATGTCAGTGTGTCGGTGGTGAAGCAAACAGCCGCGCCTACTGTATCGATGCAGCATTGGAGGATGTGCCCATACAACTTAATCCCGAAACGAAATACATTAATCTGACACTTAATAAAATACGTAACCTACAATTTGCATTGCCTTTCTACATGAAATTGGAGGTACTCGATTTGTCACAGAACATTATAGAGACATCGGGCTCAAAGAATTTCGAATATCAAACAGAAATGCGTACATTAAATTTAAGCCGCAATTCAGTGAGTTCACTGCAAAAGGAGGCTTTCAAAGGACTACAAAATTTGTTATTGCTAGACTTAAGTTATAATCGCATTGAAATAGTACATGCAACAGCATTTTCAGATCTAAGATCGCTAATTGAATTAGACCTAACTAATAACAACATTGTAAGCTTAGAGAGTAATTGTTTTCACAATATGATGTCCTTAGAGATTTTAATCTTCAAGAACAATCAATTACTTGACGTGCCAGCCAACAATCTGCAGCATTTGCATGCACTTAAGTCATTAGATCTATCCGTAAACCTAATTGAGTATGTGCGTAATGATAGCTTTGATGACTTAAAGGAACTCATGGTGCTCACAATGCGTGGCAATGTTATATCAGAATTGGATTTAAGCGCATTCGAGGGTTTAATAGCGCTAAAGCATTTGGACTTGGCCGACAATAATTTGACGGTAAGTAAGCAGAAACTGCTGTTCTTACTATTATAAGCAATTATTTGTGTGAGTTTGAGAGTTCAATTATCGAAACACATTTGTTGCAATTTATTTGTTATTTTATTAATTACAACTGTCGATAGTGAGGAAGCTCAGACATCAAATGTCTACACTAAACAAGATTTATGCAAACTGTTATCCTGCGAACAACACAATAATGAGTAACAAATTAAAAGTTTTATTAACAAACACAACCAATCAAACACTAACACAAACACAAACACTGACACAAATGTTTACACTAGCACACAATACACAGTAGAGCCTGGGCCCACACTTTTCAATAGAGCAAGTTTATCCTTTCGGCTAACAACATAACAACATAGAGAACAAGGCTCGAATATCCTTTTTGCATATATTAGCATTACACATAAAATACATTGAACAGGCACACAACAAGTTATGGTTATTAATTTTGCCACATATTTACACAATTACACACATGCATGCACACGGGTAAACTATAGTAGCATAGTAGTTCACTATTTTGTGCAAATGTGGGTGTTGTGAGCTATGTTTGCGCTGCCATTAAAGCAAATAGTCAATGTCTTTGCAAAGACGGGCTTCAGCACACAATAAAATGTTACTCATACCACATGTGAGCCATATGTGGACTTGTAGTGTTGTAGTGTTGAGTTGGTGTCGTATGTAACGGAACAGGAAGGGGAAACATATCTTAATAATTTTATCAGTCACTATTGCTGTTGCAAATAGGCGTGGCTGGCGGTATTTGTATGTAAATTATTTCATAAAACACATTATTATGCATGCAGCCGAGATTAGCATACGAGTAGATTTTGTTGTCACGCGCACATGTTGCAGTCTAAAACAACAAAAGGATATATTAATGCTACTACTTTACTATTTTACTATTTTACTATTCTACTTCTTCAGCACTGATTTTCAATAAAAACACTACCAACCAACCAACCAACCACTGTAAATGTGACAGTTTTTTATATGAATAGAAAAGGAACCGGTAAATTGTAAGAATACTCCTCTGATATGAGTTAAGGAAATTTAAAACTAAATTGCAAGTGAAATGTAAAATAAAAGTAAAAAATATATGCAAATAAGATAAAATATCAAATAAATAGTAGACAAGTAAAAAATTGTAAAATATTCAGCAACTGCACACCATTGGAATTTAATGGATTTCCTCAATCTCAACTCATAGTAGATATAAATCTACCCACTGCTTTGGAAAGCTTTACGTGCATGCATCCGTTGTGCATATTTGAAAATTCCTTAGACTGCATTTACTTCTCTGCTCCAGTATGCTTTTCTCTGGATTGTTTTTATATGCATTCACTCCATTCACAGGAAAACATTATAAATCATGCATAGTTAAAGCCACATAATATATTGAGTATGATTTTTTGAGTAAATATTTTATGTCCTTGAAAAAAAAAGTGCTTAAGTTCTTAGAAAGACTTAGAAATGATTTACTATGCCTAATAATAAAATGCTTTGTCGAGTAGAGAAAAAACCAAGATAAGGATTAGATGTGTATCTAATATGTTTCCGGAATAATATTCAAGGATATTTAAAATTCTTCTAACACGCTTTTAATACTTTATCTTACAATTATTTTCTTTATTTATTATTTATTTATTATTTAATTATTTATTATGCATTAAAGTTTGGCAATTGTTATTTAAAAATATGTTATAATAGGATATCAGTAGTCGACCTTACTCAATGTTCAGACTGCCTTTGTAAACTATTACACTCATATTCTATAAAACACTTATGTTCCAATTTATATGAGCAAACCAATGCAATGTCTTCACTCTATGTCAAAAAAAAAAATCAAAGATATAGTAGCTGATAATAAATTGACTATTTTTAACCTTCTCAATATAGTCGAGTTAAGTATCGACGAATAACAAAAACTATACTTAATTCGAATTTGTCCCATAATCGAAACAAAAATTTAATAAAAATTATTATCGTTATTGTAGTTTGCAGATATCTATTGAGAAGATTACATGAAAGCAACTAGAAAGATATATATATATATAGATTAGAATTTGGATAGATAATGTTAATGTAAAAGAGAGGAGGAGACTACTAAGGAGTAAGATTGAATCAAGGATGGATGGAAGATAAAATGAAGTCAACCAAAATCTAGGCGAAAAAAACTTGACACTTGAAAGGGCAAGATTCAATAATCGATTGGACTTAAGTTCCAATCAAATCTTATAAGATCCGATCGTGCAAAGCAGACACTTTTCGCGTCAGTTTACTGGCCATTTTATTGGCATCCATGTTCTGATGTTCCGGGAGCTATGCTTCATCAACACAATATGTCATTCACTTGAGGTGTTTAAGATTTTTTTGCTTTGATCAATTAAGTAGAAAATTGTTAAGTCTAAATTTAAAGCACGAACTCCTAAAGTGGAGTCCAATAATATAGAAATATTATTTTTGCATAAATAATATGCGATAGGTTTTCTACATGTCTCCTCAATTCCTAAAATTTCTGCCTGAAAAACGCTAGAACTCATCTGGGGAACACGATCTTTGCTAATATATACCAACACTGATATCGCAAACTATTTTGGTGTTACTTTTAAAAATTGGGGAGTCAAAACGGTTTAACAGAAATTATTATTATTATTATAAATTATAATTATTTCTTTTTCAAATTCCTTATAGGAAGCACTATTATAAACTCCTTATTAAATGTCACTTTCAGAAGTATGTTATCGACTTTATAAGAAATATTTTGCTCTTGTTAATGGACTTCTCCTAAGTAAACATAACTTTTGGGATGCTTTAGATTTTATCGGAAAGGTTTTACGCTTATCTCGTTAAGAGACATTTATGTCTATAGGTCGTTTTCTTCAGTGTCTGGTTTCTCTTAAGCTTGAATATAACTTTCTGGATGCTATCGGTTTTGTCGGAAAGAATATTGATATAGGATATTTCTTTGCAGCGACTGGCTGCTCTTACGCTTAATCACTTACAGTAACCGTTTTTTTATGTGAATGTTTATTGAGATCATTTTAAAACATTAAAAGTCTCAATTATTATTTGACTAAAAATTTTTATATAATTTTTTATAAAAGTTCATATAAGTCCTTTAAGCTTATTTATCACATACCTTCTGCTCAAAAAGTACCCGGATTTTATTGTTTGTTAACTACTCCTTAAGTAATAGATCTTTTTTAAAAATTTTTTTTAATTATGTTGGTACACCCTTTCTTGACATATGGTACAAATTTGAGCGCCATCTGTCAATTAGTTTGTTTACAGCAGCTGTTAATGTGAGACTACCTCAAGTGCATTCAGTGATTTATACTATGGTAAATTCTTGTTGTACGCGATTTTTTGACCAAACACGGCACCACTGTCATCGCTCAGGCACCATATTCGCCAGATCTGGATCCATGCGACTTTTTCCTGTTCCCGAAACTCAAATTGTTCCTTCATGCTAAGCGTTTTGAGTCGATTGAATCGGAATTCGCCGAAGGAACTAAAAGCCATACCTTCACGGGCCTACGAAAAGTGTATGGAAGATTAGCATATGTGTATCGCTTCAGAAGGAGCATATTTTGAAGGAGATAAAATAAATTTGGCATAAAATTTAAATTTGTGTTTTATTTACAAAATCCGGGTACTTTTTGAGCAGAAGGTAACTTCTGAAATTTAAATACGACATTAATTTTTACACACTTTAACTTTTTGTTACCTTCTGAAGGATATTTTCATAGTTCTTTTTTTTTAAAATAAACAATTATTTACAAAATATTAAACTTAATTTGAAATTCTTCTCCATGAACTATATGTTGCAATTTTGCATTTTATGAATTATATCCTTGCAGTCACATATGTCCTCGTCCGTATATCGACAATTGCATTAATTTTATTGTGCGTTATTGTTTTTAAATGTGCAATAAAATTAACAATTTTGTGCAATTTAATGAATATTTAAATTTAAAATTTTCGTAGCATATTGCAACTGTAAAGGATATGCAAAAATCTTATTGTTTTTGCTCAAATACGAAATAAAATATGGTTTTGGAAACAATTGTGTCGAGTCTCTGTGTGTACAATATATATACGATATTTTGAATTTTTCGTTTATTTATTATTATTTATATGTATATATATATAGAGAAATGCATAAATTTTTATTATGTCCTGCTGCTACATACAAATATTATTGAAAGTGGCTTGTAGTTGCAATAAATTTTAAAACAAATACAGTGTAACATACTATATAGTGAAGATTTTGAAAATGTTTTCACTTAATACTGACAGAATTGTTTATGGCCTTCCTCTACAATGACATGTTTGTTACTAAAATAGTTCATTTATTATAAAATAGCAAAGCAATAAATAAAGATATTCACAGAGAGTGATACTTTTCAGCAGATGTTAAAAGTTTCAAAATCATTTTAAACATTAATAATATTTAAGACTTGCACTAATCACAAAGAAACTATTAACTAAATTTAACTAAATATCCCCACAAATATTTCAAATCCTGAAATTATAGAAAATTTTTTATACAATCACAGTTACAAATAATAAAAAGCGTTAAATTTATAACAACGAAACTAAATTAATGATAAAATGGTAGCGAAAAAATGAACAGGAAACGGAAACGTGCGTCATGTAGTTCCGCTTGTTTCGTTCCCTCTCTACACTTTCTATACTTTCTATACTTTCAGTACTTTTTAACAATTTCACCATCAAGTTTCCTTGTTTTCCTTCTTACTTATGACCACAGCACACAAAATAGTAATAAAAATCAATCTTGCAACAAATTTGTAACCATTCGACCTGACCGGTCTTCGGTAAGGATTCGTTATGGACTACAAAGTACTTGCAGCTGCTACCATACATCAGGTATAGAACACATTCTTAAGGATATTGTTTTTATTTTTCAAATTTTTTTTTATTTTTTGTCTCGAAGAAGAAAAGATACACATATACACATAAATATTTAAGAAACCAAAACCTAAAAATACGTGCATTAAGCATTATCAAAAATGTTAGGGAACCACAAAAAGCATAGTTTGAGGGTGTTTGGAGTCAGTAACGAGCAGCTAGTAACGACTAACGAGTAACGAGTGTAGCTGAAGTAACTGGTAAGGTAAAACAAGCGCGACTTTGGTGGTAAATCATGCAATTTAGTATTTCGTGCCGGAAAACGTGCAACTCCATCGTGATAACGTAATGAACTCTTCGTGCCAAAGTATTTGATGGCTGTGGTGTTATAATTTTAAGTTCGAAATTTTTTACTTCATCATAAAAAATGTATACCATATATAACATACTAAAGAAAATCTTAAATGTAGTAAATTTAAACAAATAAAGTTTTTATAAATAAAAGTTTCACTTATTAAGTAGGTCAAGTCCAACAAAATTTCATGGAAATTTTTATAATTTATAGCTCGAGAAAAATTCAAACTGCACTTGATACTCGTTAAACTTTTGAAGTTCGTTAAATTGCTGTAAAAATATCCAAACAGAGATATTTACAAGTATTTGCATGAAGTAAAAGTTTCTAGAGAAAGAATAAGTTCTTATTACTCCCTCAATATTAGAATAGACAATCATTTTATTTTCTATGAGAAATATAAAAATGAGAAATATCGCAAGTTTAAAAACTCTATACATCGAACTATAGTCTTTGAATGATATTTGAAAAAAAGCCCACTTAAGCTCAAATGATGGCCCATTGTGGCGCCACAGAAATGGCATTGGTGTGTACATAGATTAAAATCATTATACAGCCAACGCCGAAAAAGGTAACGACTCCCTCATAGTTAAAGGAAAACCACCTGACAGTTCTATAAACTTGACCAGGTTCCTAACATTACACGATGACAGCTCAGTCAGATCGGTGAGAAAAGGAGATCCGAATATATTTAAACTTTATCTAGCTAATGAAGGACACTGACACATGAAATGAAGCACGGTCACCTTCTCATCATCAGAGCCACAATCTCAACAAAAATCCTTCCTATTTTGCAGCGTCGTGTTAGCACAGATATCGTGGTGCTGAGCAGGTTTCACCTTAATTGAAGTAGCTGTCTAATTCGTTGTTTGGCTAAATTAGACCAAGTCAAACAAGAAATCTAACATTGAGGTTCGTCAGCTCAGTATTGCTTGGCTGTGTTCAGATGGAATGGGGTAACTCAGATGTTAAAAGCAAAACCTATCGATTTTTGTTTGGAAATTTAAATAAATATAGGACATAATATAAACAGTGGTTCCTTTCTGATGAATCAACAATAATACTGAAGAGTTAAACCACAGACAACTTATAACTCTCAGCTGAAAAAATGCATGGTTAAGATATGAAAACACATTTTTTATCAAACATTCCTACTCTACTCTAAAATTTCGATAGGTCTCTTATAGAAATATTTACCTTTGGTCTCCAAAAAGACATTTCTTTCGATAAGCGTTGGTTTCTATTGCAGGTTAATATGCGATTACACAAATGTTTAAAAAATATAGGAATCGGCTTCTTATTGAGACCCAACTATAGATCGGTCACAGGGTGAATACACAGCCCTTAATAACCTCGTCTCCAACTAGTATTGCTGAGGCCTCGTGAGTGTACTCCAAACAGTTCAATCGACCATTACCAAATGCTAATTTAATTAATTCACGTTTAAATGCAATTAATTAATAATAATAATTATAATAATAATGCGATAATTTTGAACATATTTTATTCTATTAGGAACTAAAGAACCTGGTCACACGATAGTTACGTAGCTCTTAATGACGAATTGGACTCTGGTTTACTAAAGATCTTTAGGCTTATGCCTGACATTTTGATGACAACCAGTTCTACCTACCTTCCGATACATTTTATGGCTTTAGGTTATATTGCGATTTATTTTTGCATATATCCTTCAACTTCAGAGGGATAACGTTTAAATAATTTATGTCAAGTACTAGCAATAACAATTAACTGATTCACAATACATGAGTTAAAGTTGTCATTAAACAAATTGAAAAGTGCAAATATGTAAATATTATGGAATAAAATTATTTGTTTTAATTTGAATGTTGCAAAATCAAAATGATCATTGAGTGAAAAAACTTTATTAAATAAATTTGTTAAGTGCATAAAATTATGCAAATAAGCTGAAATCTGTTTGCTTGTAATTATAAATTATGCAGATTGCAGTGCATTTCAATGCAAAACTTTTCATTTGCTTTTGGCGTAGATTCAATTTGGTATTTGTCCCTAAATCCACACTGAAATAAATATAATTTCGTAAACGAAAAATATATTTTCCATAAATTGTTAAAATGCATATTTAAAAATATTAAATTACAACATTTGCTTTGGTGTTGAGTTGCAATTATTTAAATAATTGATTGATTGGGTGTTTGCATTGTCCTCGCATTGAAGTGTTAATTTATTATTTTTCGCTGCATTGAAATTAATTTTGCAATAATATTTTATGGATTTATATCCAAATTGTGCTAAAATTTCACAAATAATAATGTTTAACAGCAATATGTTATAAATAATTTAGTAGCAAATATATGAAAATTATTTAGCACATTTATTTGATTATTTCGCATTTTAAACTGAAATTGGGTTCTATGAAAATGGTTAAATATTTACTAGGTTAAAAACCACCAGCATCAGTGGATCACCAACAAAGAACAAAAATTTTATAACCCTGGAACCATGCTACTTCCAGAAAGACCCAATAAAATATTTATTTATATGTAAGAAAATCATCTTTCTTTTTTTATAATAAACAACAAAATTTGTTTCCAAACAGACACAAATATACAAAAAATATTACTTAATAATATAATAATATATAATAAAAACAATAATATAATTAATTAAAAATGATTATTAATTAAAAATTAATAATATAATTGGTATAGTACTTGGTACTTAAAGTCTCATTTAGTCTTATTTACGAATAATTAAATATAAAAAATAATTTTATGACCACTGATGATTGGTATTTGGCTGGCAACATTCGAAATAGCTGTGTAGTCAGCCAAAAATTCAATTAATTAAAAATAAATAAAAATTTTATTGTTACAATTACCTACTGTTCGAAACCTCTGCCCCGTACGGTGAAAGGGTTAGAATTTTCCCGAGACGACTAAAATTCCGGGGCCAATCCGACACTTGTGCAAGAAGTGTGCATAGCAGTGAGCTTGAAATCGCATTCACGCATTCACGACGCCAGAGGTAAATCTGGTACTACGGGGGTCAGAAGCCCGCAGCTTCTGCTGTTCTGACCATATGGGTTGGATTCGTAGTGGCTGTGGGTAATACCCAAACGCGGGAAGAATGTTCAGGTATTTGTTTAACATTCATTCGGCGTGAAGTTGCGTATTCACCACCGGGTGCTACAGCCCAAATTGTAGCGGAAGTTTAGATAGTCCTCACATTGTACCAAGATGGAAGTTATGCCTTGTACGCATATCGTCGTTTGGTGCCCGAGGAATAATATATGCATATTCCAATGGGGCGTTGATTGACGCTTGGTATTATACATTGTATTTTTGTTTACCGTAGTGTTAGGCCTCCTAGGCGTAGGAAGCTTGTTCTCTATTAAATACAATAGTTCCTATATTAAGCAAAATACTCACTACCGTCTTAACTCAAATTTAATATATAATATAATTTATTTATATAATTAATTTCTTTTTTCTTTATAGATGGTACCCACGCAACAGTTATCGAAGTTATCGAATCTTACCTATTTATCATTGAGCGGAAATCGATTTACAAATCTTCCTGCCGTTGCATTATTAAATTTATTCCATCTACAAGAATTACATTTGAGCCGTCTGGATCGCTTAAACCGTATTGATTCAAGGTAAGTGATTTTAATAACAAACTATAATCAAACAAAAAAAAACCGATATCGAAGAAGGGATTCATAAAACCTGTAGTATTATCTATTTGAAGTCACTGCTTCTATAAACTTTAGGTGAAAAGAATGGAATCTGTATTTTTCAGTTAATTTCAAGTAACAATTTAAATATTTATTTGCTTCCAAAACATTCATTTTGAATATTCCTAATAAGAAAGAGGGTTCATAGTTGAGTAACCCACATCTTCTGCATGTGATAAGCGAACGATTAAGATATTAGGCATTTATATTTTCAGGAAGTTGTGCATCAATTACATACATGTTATATTATAGAAATAAATTATTCATTGGAATGACATTTTTCTGCATTTCCTTATAGGAAGAACTATACCTCTTGCCTTATATATTGCTCTTCTGGTTGTATATGTTGGAAAATTCTTGCGTGCGGTCGCCCACACCACATCTTGACCCTATATATGATATTATATACAATAACATTGCTTCGTAATGAATGCAATCTTTATAATGGTGTAAAAAATAATTACAGGAAATTCCCTTAATCTAAAAATGTTCCATATAATTTTTTTCTATCCCTTCAGAAAATTTATTGATTATCTTCAAAAATATTTACAGCTTACAATCTCTTCTGATTTTACTATTCCTCTTCTTTATTGCTTATGCAACCCTTATATCATCGAAATAATATGATTTCCTTCTAAAACCCTAATATTATTTTCCGTTCGCACTCAATCAATCATAAAATGTTTCCAAGTACATCCGTAATTTGAATGAACATCTTTTAACCGCAATTGACAAATCTTCAATCAAAATGCGCAAATAATACAATAATTTCAGTTAATTTTCATGTCAGATCATCAGCTGCGCTCCAATCCAATATTCCATTTCACATAAAAATCATCTGAGTAGGCAAAGTCGGTCGGTTTTCGACTACAAAACCAGACGCCACCAAAATTGATATATGTAAACGTATGCGTAACTTACAAGCTCGTCTGCTCTTACATTTCATATTGAACGGAATCTGTCTAATTCTTCCACATGTATTGACATTTTGGGGAGATGAGTAAGTTGATTTGTGATGAAATCATGTGCATAATTGTCTGTCTATTCTACGTGCATATTTGTCTGAGCTTTTCAATACGAAGATTTAACTTTACTGCCTTTATTAGCATTTACTACTTTGTTGACATATACAATTTGAAAAGTACGTACACACACATGTATATTTATATATAGATTATTTGCCTTTGTAACTTTATACACATAAATATTTATACATATATTTATAAATATGAGGTATTCCTTTGTGCTTAAAGCGTTTCGAATGACAGACTTAAATGTAGTTTGAATGTAAATTTTATATCTCAGATGAATGACATACTGTTATTTGAATGTTGAAAATATGTATGAAAACATATTCTATCAAAATTGTTTATAAAACTATTCTTTCGTTTTGGTGCTGTTAGCTGACTTTTTTGTCTTTTTTTGTAGGAGTTAACTTTTTACTTAATATAAAATCAATTTAGTGTTAATATCTTCAGACGTTCCCTCACAAAATCATCTCCGTGAACCACAAATCATTTTTTATAACAGTTTCACCTTTTCTGTAGTAATAAAGCATATTTTTTAAGATATTTTACTGATTTTTAAATGAACAAATTTTAGCCCATGTTCCGTAAAGATCAAAAGCTGAAACCCCATTCCAGTAATCAATGGAATGGCAGACATTAGAATACAAAGGACTTAATATTTAGACAAAAAATAAATCTAAGCCAAAATTAAAAACAAATTAGAGGATAAAAGAAGTATGTTTTTTCGAGGTAGTAGTTATTAGCGAAGACCAGTAAACTCTTTACAAGGGATTATTAAGACCACAATTGTAAAACGGATTCAAAAGAGTTTTCGAAGCGATAAATGAAATCACGGATGTCAACTCACTCAAATCGAGTGCTAGTGCGAACCCCTAAAAGATACTTTTATTTTTTTGATTTGCCATTCACAATAATAACAGTTTGACAAGCATTGTTTTCATTTTAACAAATAACATACTGAGTTGCATTTAAGTATAACCAAATCAATCAATTGATTAGAAGTGATTTAAAGAAGACTGCTATTATTATTTGTACATACAGATACAGCTGTGAAACAACTCATCTTGGATCAAGGTTTTTTTAATAACTTTCCCCAATTGTACCATAAATATTCCGTTCATCGTCAACTTATGTACTTGCAATTGAAACAAAATCTTATGTTCGAATTTAATCTAAACACTTTACTTTATATATCTTTATTTTCTAAAATAAGAAACAAAAAATTCCTTTTATTCCTTCTTAATCCAACATGGATGGAAATGGAATTTAATCAATTCCAAACATAGTAGCAACAGTAAGCACGTAATAAAATCAAAACTAACTACAACAAGATTTCAAAACACCAATAACAAAAACAACGCTAACGTTCTGAAAATCTATTTCTCTCCGACTTTGGTTGTGCATCCAATCAAATTGGACGCCGGAAGCATTTAAACAAACGCGAACAAACTTTATTTTATCAACTTTCTACCAACAGCCACTTGAAAATTTTCGAATTATTACACGCCGCACACATACACACATGCACAACGCACCACGTACGTTTACACGAGAAACGCATACATATATACGACTCCTACTTATTTGCTTGTGTGTATATGTGTGTGTGTGGTAAGCGCAGTGCATACAAACAATTCAATTCACTTTTAACCTATTTAAATAAAATTTTGAAAATTTGCATTCATGGCTATACGTATATATGTATATATATATCTATTGGTAGCTGTATGCATGTGTGAGTGTGTATTTGTAAAAGTTGGTGCGCCATACATTTCCGTTTTGCCATATTTCCTGCGACATTGAATCGAGTGAGTTTCGTTAAGAACTGAACCACCTGCTAGAAAGGCAATTTCCCACAAATTCATTTTCATGGCAAGCAATGAATTTGCTAAAATACGAGTTAAGCATGTCAGCATGCAGCTTGTCTGTCTGTTTGTTATAAAAACTTAACAGTGTACTCTTCTTCTTTAATGCTTTAATTTGTTAGCATACTTTTAGGCAGCCGACTACAGTTATTTGTCACCTTTCAATTTGATTTCTGCGAGTATAAACTGGTGTTTTCTGGTGTTTTTTTTTGTTGTTAAAATGTAATGCCACTGGCTATTGCCACTAGTTTTCACTCATTAAACTCTTTTTGTTATTGTTTTTGTTGTTGTCTTTATAGTCAGTATTGTTGATATTATTTTACCGCCTTTGTTGCGCTTGTCAGTTCAATATTTTCATACAATCTTTTAGTATTTTTACCCTTCACTTTGCACTATTCCGCATAAAACCAGGCCAATATACAAAATACATACTATACCGTCCTTGTTACCTTACCGACAACTTGGTCTGTCTTTCTCTACTGCTGATTGTTTGCAATTTGCCGTCGAAACCACGTTTATGAACTTGAAGCTTCTCTCCAACTTATTTGCATAATATTTGCAGAAATAATTGAATTTTCCTTTGCTTCTTATTTGTCAACTGCTTCTGTCGTTCAGCCAATTCTTGTAGGCGAAAGGGGCTGTGATTTACCAAGCAATTTATGTTATATTCAACATTTTAGCTATAGTAGGTGTTTGTTGTTTTTGTTTTTGTTGTTGTTGTTGTTACGACTTCTACTGTTCTGTAGTGTTTTGTTGGTTTTGCTTTTGCCATTAAATGTGAAGCTTTAAGTTATTTGCTTGACTAAATTTTGTTTTCCTTTTCAATCGATTTTCAAAGTGCAGCGCTAAGAGGCTCACTTGAATTAAATTTGCCGGGAAGGGAAGTGAGGTGCAGAGAAGAACTTATATTCAAATATTAACATAACAGTGTACGTATTTTGTGTTGGCAAATTTTAAAAATTTTCAAAACACTTTTCTTTTCATTAAGTTTTATAAAATTTGTGTTGCAAAAATATACAAAAATAGATTAAAAGAGTAAACTTTGGCTCTACCTAAACTTGAATACCCTTCACACAAATATTTGCACGGAAAATTAATCTGAAACTATTTACCAATGGTAAATAAATTTTTTTTTCAAAAATAGTTATAAAGTTTATTTATGACAGAGAGTTTTCGAGTAGTAGTAAATTGTAACAACAATTTTTTTTCTTTATTTTTATATTAATTGAATTTTTGCTAACCATATAACTATTTCGAGTCTTGTCAAATACTCATCATCAGTGGTCTTGGAATTAACTCTTATAGTTAATAATTCATACATAATTTTTTGAGACTGCAAGTACATTTATGAGTTAATCTTGTGAACAAACACAGTTACGCATATTGTAGTATAGTATGTACAGTACCAGATACTAAAATCAAACAATTTTAGTCAGTTTTATATTAGGAAAGATATTCAAAATTTTGTCATATTACGATATTGCATCAGATATCGTTACTAAATTACTACTCGAATGACTAAAACAGAAATGTTATATTCCAGTATTATAAATTTACAACTTTGCTTTTGTTTCCCTCCAGTACGATTAATGGGTTTTTAATTTCGTTCTCATTCTTTTTTATATCGGTATCAAAAATATTTTCCTAGATGGGGATTATTTGGATTGACACTTCGACATTTTATTCCTTTTCACTCTCATAAAAATATAAAGCGTTAGCAATATTTTAATTATTCTTTAAATAAGAATTGAAGAAACTTACTACTTATTAAGACTCTATACTCTATAGGAGTCAAGAATTTAAGTAGTAATAGTATTCTTAATAGTATGTCACTCTGAAGTTTTGTCACCTCCTAATGTCTTGAATGTCTCAAATGCCTATTTGGGCGTAGAAAAACACTCGCCACGCACTTTTTTCTTATTGTTTGAAAACACGAAGAAGTTATTGGGTGCCAAGTCGGGACTGCAAGGCAGATATATCCATCAACTCGACATTTTAAATGCTCAAAAACTCGTTTGTTTGAGGTAAT